CAATCGGGGGCAGGGCTTGCAGCCAATCACCCGTGGTCCCTCCCCACTGGTCTGCCCAGTCCTGATTGGGCCCCGATGAGGGCAGGCCGGCCGGCCAACCTCCTGCCACCTCTTCCTCCCGGTAGTCTCCCCCTCCCGACAGGCCGGCCCCGATCCGCGTACACTGGGCCTCTAGTTTATTTATAAAATCACAGAGGTGGAAGAAGTAATTTGAAGAAATGGGCTGAGGAAATGAGTTATGGAGGCAAAGGAAGGGCCCTAGTAACTTGGGAGTGAGGAAAGTGATGGTAATGCACCTGGTTGGGGGGGCGGTGTGGTCGTACTGCCAGAAGGGAGAGCTTACTGGGTCCTCTGTCCTAAGGGTTTTAAGGGTGGAGATTTTAGTCCAAGGGAAGATCTTAATAGAATATTTAGCAGCTTTCCAGGTGCTTCCTTCCAGGTTTGGTCTCCACTGATGATTGGTCAGTGCCAGAGCTGGGGCTTGTTATCCAATGCAGCTGGTTCTGAGGGCAGTCATGGGGTCGCTGGTCTGGTTTTGTGGCTCTTTTGGGCCTGAAGGTGAAATACAGCTGAGGCCTACATGTTATCTCTAGGGATGAAAGGTCAAGGGGTCCAAACTGCATGATGAGCATATGTTAGGGGAGAAAAGGTCACCGTGGGGCGAGGTCCCACCCTACTGTTGTCTTTTGCTAAGCACACAGGGCTTTCTGCCCTGGTCACCTTCTGTACCTGGCCCATGGTCCTTGCTCTGCTCATGTGTCTCTAACTGCCTACCACAGGTATAGGCTTATTATTGCAGCGTGAAATATAGTGGTTAAAAAAAACCCTGGGGATATTTGAATATATAGGGGAATTGTTGAATAAATTATGGCATACACACACACACACACACACACACACACACACACAGAGGCTATTATGCAGATATTAGAAAGAATGTTAGATATCCATGTATGAACTTGGAGGCAAATATTTGTTGGTAATTTTTTAAAGTTGTAGAGTGTTAAACATATTTAGTGTGATTCCATTTTGGTTATTAAAAAAATAAGAGGCAAAATACCACTCCATGATCTATGTTTATATGAGAGAATGTATAGAAGGGTGCCAAGCTGTATGTGTAAACACTGTCTTCTCACGTATTGGACTGCAGGGGAGAGATCATTATGTTTTTATTTTATATCTCTTTACCATTTTAACTTCTCAAAAGAAAAAGTAATTACAAAATTACTTTGTAATTTAAAAAAATCTAATAAAATCAACAAGGAGAAATTAACTTGGATTTAAATTTTATTTAATATGTACAACATTATACTATTTCTTAGTGTTGATATGAGATGTGACTTTTATGGGTGGGGTAGGGGCTGTAATATAAGTTCTGCTAACCTCAGAGTTCTTTAGTTTATACCTAATTATAACATCACACTGATACTACTGAAGTCTTATATCAGGGGAGTTTTGTTGGAGCTGTAGTAAGAGCTACAGTAAACACTTAGAGTTAATGTAAGGAATAAAATGTAAACTTTCTATGTAAGCTACATAATTCATGGGTATCTTAAGACATTAAAATGGAGAGAGATTATATTTCAGAACGTAAGTGCCTAATGTTAGTTAAAAATATACCTATGATTCTGTTTCTTTGGGTTTTGTTCTGGTCAATCTTTAATTCAGCCATTCACATTAGAATTCATTAGTAGTTCCTTTTCATGATGCAAGGTAAGTGGTTGTTTCTAATTACAAATTCTAAGTATAATCTTATTTCCTTCTCAGGAGACTATTTGGTAGCAATTGAAGAGAAAAACCAAGCCACATTTCTACGTGCTTATGTGAACTGGAGAAGTAAAAGGACTGAAAATTCTCGAGTGTGCATCCGAATGGTTGGACATAATGTGGAGGCACCTTTTCGAGAAACCTTCAGAGACCAGATGTCTATTGTTGAAATGCCGCTTTCTGAGACCCCCTTGTGCATTTCCTGTTGTCCTGTGAAAGGAGACCTTCTTGTTGGCTGCACAAATAAGTTAGTCTTATTTAGTCTGAAGTATCAGATCATTAATGAAGAATTCCCAGTATTGGACTTTGAGCGTTCTTTAATTATACACATACATAATATAACTCCTGTTGAAATTTCTTTCTGTGTTGGATATGTGGCTGTCATGTCAGACTTAGAAGTTTTAATCCTAAAGCTGGAGTCAAACCCTAAAAATGGAGAGAGTGTTCATCACCATCCACATAAGCCCAACAGTCCAGTGACACAGGCAGAAGGTAAATGGTGACTTTGCTTTCTTGTTCTAGGTATAGAGTAAACCTCTCTTCTGGCAATCTCTGAAGCACTCTGGTATATATATATTGCCAAGCCACATTGTGTATAGATTGAGTTATTCCTAAAACATGGGATTGGGTTTGTGATCTTATTCTGTAGCATGCAATGCATTTCAGTAATATTTGTCAATAGAAATAATGGAGCAACTGTTCGATGAGAAGTTTGTAGTCCCAGTTCTTATATTTGTTAGTTGAATGAGCTTGGGTTTGGAATACCATTTCTGGGTTTTAGTTTCCTCATGTATAAAACGGGGATTATAATGAATCCTGTTGTATTTGATCAGTTATTATGAGAAATAAATGAGCAAGTGCTAAGACTTCAGAACCATAGTGCCTTGTTAATACATGAAGTGTGTGTATGTATAAATAAGTAACATTATTCCTTGTCTATTTAATTGGTGGGAGATGTTGTTAAATGTAATTTCATTCAAGTAGCATTTAGACTTGTTGAACTCTTCTTCAATATTATTTTTTAAGGCACCAGTAATGAAACTTTGCAACTTGAGTCAGAGGATTTTGTGATCTGCCAGAAGCCCATGGAACTTCTTGGTCAAAATAGTGAACAGTCTGGAGTATCTGTTACCCTGGAATCAACGGGATTAGATGATGAAAAAATAAAATATTTCCATGTTCAGCATCTGCTCTATAGGTATTAGGAAGTTTTTTATTCACCAGCATTTAATATGTATTTGCCTGTTTAAAGTACATGGAAACTAGATCTCTCTCCCTGTCTGTCTTTTTAAACTCACAGACGTTTTGCTCCTGATATTTCGTCCTATGTCTTGTCTGATGACATTAAGTTGCATTCACTTCAGCTGCTACCCATTTACCAAACAGGTAAGTATGACCGTGATACAGTGCAGTGAGGTAAAAGGCTGCTCGGAGGAATAATAACGTGTGTAATAGGTTAGGTTCTTCTACTGAGTCTTCCTGTAGCTTTGGACAAGTTCCTTAGCAAATCTCTGTGAGCACTAGAAAGGGAAGTTGTGTCTGCTAGGAGAAGCCATGGATAGGACATGACAGACAAATGCCATTTCCCTTTTTAAAAAAATGGTCACTAGACCCAAAAAACCCTGCTATAGTTGATGTTTACTGGGTTCCAGCTGGGTTTTTGGCAGACTTCTGTGATAGCCGTGAGAAAGGTGGGGATGGACTGAAGGAAGTTCATTCAGAGCAGTGTTTTTCAGTCGTGCTGCACACTGGGTTTACTTGGGTACCTTTAAAAATAGTGATGCCCAGCCTGACCAGCGTGGCTCAGTGGTTGAGCGTCAACCTATGAACCAGGAGGTCATGGTTCAATTCTGGGTTCGATTCTTGGTCAGGGAACCTGCCCAGATTGTGGGCTCGATCCCCAGTGGGGGGCATGCAGGAGGCAGCCAATCTGATTCTCTCTCATCATTGATGTTTCTATCTCTCTCTCCGTCTCCCTTCCTCTCTGAAATTTAAGAAAAAAAGAAAAATAGTAATGCCCAAACTCTACTAGTATATGCTGGAAATTCTGACATAATCTGTCTATTATGGAACCTGGGTACCAGTATTTTTTAAAAGCTTCCCAGGAATGTAATGGGCAGCCAAAATTGAGAATCAACATCGGGTTCTATACTTAGTCCTGACCTGTTTAATATCTTTAGGTGTTGCCTAGAGAAAGGTATAAATATTGTTCTGATTAAATGTGTTTATACCCTCATTTATTTTTTATTTGTTTTAGTAAACATTTATTGAATACTTACTATGCTGGGTATGGTGCTGAATACTAGGGAATTAATAATAAGCAAAAGTAGGCAAAGTATTTACACTCATGGAGCTTATGGTCTTATGGGGGAGATAGATGATTATTAGTCAAACTAGAAGCCCGTTGCACGAAGATTCACGCAATAGGCCTTCCTTCCCCTGGCTGCTGGCACCGGTTTTCCTCTGGCACCTGGAACCCAGGCCTTTGGTCTTCAGTCTTCAGTCTTCACTCCAGCCGGAGCCTTCAGTCTTCACTCCGTGTCTGCGTATGCAAATTAACCACCATCTTTGTTGGGTTAATTTGCATAGTCGCTCTGATTGGCTGGTGAGCGTAGTGGAGTGACACCAATTTGCATGTTTCTCTTTTATTAGTGTAGATAATCACAAAAAAGAGGATACAGTTACATGCTGAAATGAGTTCTCCGTTGAGGGGAAAAACAAAACAAAAAACCTGCCTTGAAAGCCTATAACAAAAAATCCTAACCTCATCTGGTGGTCAGGGAATGCTTCTTGAGAAAAAGATCTGAAGAGTGAAATGGTGCTGGTTTGGGGATAGGGTGCAGAAGAAGCGGCAAAGGCGTTGTCACGAGGGCAAATCTTGTTTGAGGAACTGAGAGAAGCAAGACCATGGTGAGTTGAGCAAGGAAGAGGGGGTTGGGAGCCCAGGCTGGAGACAAGATAGGGCCCATAGCCATGTTAGAGGGTAAACTCTATCAAGTGGCTTCCCATAGCACTTGGGATAAAATCCAAAATTCCTACATGACCCTGATTCTGGGCTTATCTTGTCCCTCTCACCATGCTTACTGTTCTCATCCATATGGCCTTTCTTTCATCCTCAGATAGGCCAGGTGCACTCTTTCTTGTGTAAGGCTTATTACTTAGTCTTCAAGTCCTGAGGTTGTACTTTCCCCAGATCTTGCATGTCTCACAGCTCAAGTGTCACCTAACCACAGAGGACTTCCCTGAACTCTCAATTTAAACTATTCCATCTCTACATACTACCCAGTTTGTTTAGTCTCTACTCCAGTCCCCATTACTAGAATGAATGCAGTTACCTTGTCTTGTGCACTGTTGTATTCCCCAAACCGAGAACAGTGGCACTTAGTAGGTATGTGATGAATGTTTAATAGGCAAATGGAAGGGTAGTGCATATTTGAGCTGGGCCCTAAGGGATGAGTAGAACTTTTAGGAGATGGAGATTTTAGTGAAATATTACATAAGAGGAACCAACGTGTACAAGGTACAAAAGTGTTTGGAGATTAACGAGCAATTCTGTCTGACGAGAGCACAGATGTGTATAGGAAAGGAGGGAGAAAAAAATGGACAGGTTGTTCTGGGCCAATTATGGAGAATGCAGAATTGGACTTTCTTCTGTTATTAATGGGTGTCTTTGAAGAGTATCAATCAGAGCTAACTTTAAAAAAATACACTTTGATTATGAAAAATTTCAAGCACAGAGATATAGAGTAAATGGTATAATGAACCCATCACACAGCTTCAATAGTGTCTCGTGATTACTCCCTGCCAGATTATTTTGATGCAAATTCTAGAGTTTATACCGTTCCATCCATAAATATTTCAGCATGTATTTCTAAAAGAAAAGGATTCCTTTTTTTAAACAAACCCAAAATACCATTTTACATTTTTATTTTTTTAATATGTTTTTATTGATTTTTAGAGGGAGAGGAGAAGGGAGAAAGAGATAGAAACACCAATGATAAGAAAGAATCAAAATGATTGGCTGCCTCTTGCACACCCTCCACTGAGGATCCAACCTGCAACCTGGATATGTGTCCTGACCAAGAATCGAACTGTGACCTCCTGGTTCATGGATTGAAGCTCAACTACTGAACCACACTAGCCAGGCCCATTTTACATTTAAAAAATTTCATTGATATCAAATATCCAGTCAGTGTTCAGATTTTCCTAATTGTCTAAAAAATTTTTCTTTAATTCATTTGTTTGAATCAGATTCATTTGTTTGGTTCATATATCACAATTGGTTGCTATGTCTTTAAAATTTGTCTTTAAAGTCTCTTTTTGTTGTTGTTGTTAAGCCTCACCTGAGGATATTTTTCCACTGATTTTTAGAGAGAGTGGAAGGGAGGGGGAGAGACAGAGAGAGAGAGAGAAACATCGATATGAGAGAGACACATCACTTGGTTGCCTCGATTGGTTGCTTCCCTCACATGCCCAAAAGGAGGCGGGGAAATGAGCCTGCAACCGAGGTACATGCCTTTGACCGAAATCGCACCCGGATCCTTCAGTCCGAGGGCCGATACTCTATCCCCTGAGACAAACTAGCTAGAGCTAAAGTCTCTTTTAATATGTAGGCTGTCTCTTCCTCCCTCTTTTTCTTTTCTTTGCAATTTGTTTAGCAAGAAACTGCACTGATAACTGTAGAATTTCCCAAAATCTGAATTCTGCTAATTAACTTCCCACAGTGACATTAAACATTTTCCTGTATCTCCTATATTTCCCTGTGATTTGGTAGTTCTATCTTTTTTTATTTTTATTGATTTTAGAGAGAGGAAGGGAGAGGAACAGAGAGATAGAAGTATCGATGAGAGAGAAATACTGATCAGCCTGCCTCCTGCACACTTCCTACTGGGGATCAAGCCCACAACCGGGGCATGTGTCCTGACCAGGAGTCAAACCATGATCTGGTTCATGGGCCCATCCTCAACCACTAAGCCACAATTGGCTAGGCTTGGTAGTTCTATTTAAAGCTACACTTTTCATTATGGTAGCCATTAGTCACGTGTTGTTATTGAGCACTTGAAATGTCATGAGTCTACATTGAAATATACTGTAAGTATAAAATTCACACTAGATCTTGAAGATGTAGCATAAAAAAATATAAAATACCTCATTACATTTTTGTTGATTGCTTGTTGACATGATGTTTTGATTATATTGGTTAATATGACATATTAAATGTTGTATTTTGCCTGCTTTTACTTTTGTAATTGTGATTTCTGGGAAACTTTAAATTACATATGTGGCTCACATTACATTTCTGTTGACAGTGCTAGTCTAGACTTAGTCTTGATCATAATAATAATAATTATTATTATGTAACACAAGTAGTGTTGAGTTCTGTTGAAAGGTACATAGAATCTGGTTGTCTCTTTTTGTAATATTAATAGCCATTAATGATTATTATCTAGCTCTGTTCATTTATTAGGAGTTACAATATGGTGATACTCTAATTATATCACTCCTTTTTAATTTCTTACTGGCATTCTTCTATAAAGAGCAACTTCCCCTAAAAAGCTCTTTGGTTATCTACTAATAGACTTTTTTGCCTAAAAAAGTAAAAATATTGCTTTCCTTTGTTTTCTGGTTTTATTGTTTGTTTGTTTTTTCTTTTTCATACAGATTCTCTTACTTCTGAGAGAAAAAATTTGTCTCAGGAAAAGGAGTTGCTGAGTCTCTTTTGTTTTTTCTCATTGCCTCATGTGGGCTATCTCTACCTGGTGGTCAAATCGGTTGAATTAATGTCAGTTTACCAATATCCCGAGAAGTCTCAACAGGCAGTACTCACGCCACAATTTTTGCATGTCATCACAAGGTATGTTACAGTTGCTGGCCTTTGAGTCACTTATTTTTCTGTAAATTCTTGAGGTGCTTTCCAAATCTAAATGAGAATCGAGTGAACCAATATATAACTCTGAAAATTAATGTATATATCTGCCTTTTGATGGCCCATACCTGCCCTTTTAGTGTAAATGTTCTGGTTTTGCCTTTTTTAATTTTCTGAGACTGGATGGGGATCTTTGTAAGAAAGAAGGAGGTTCTTCATGAGGAAGATTTTTTTTAAAAATATATTTTATTAAATTTTTACAGAGAGGAAGGGAGAGGTATAGAGAGTTAGAAACATCGATGAGAGAGAAACATCAATCAGCTGCCTCCTGCACACCTCCTCCAGGGGATGTGCCCGCAACCAAGGTACATGCCCTTGACCAGAATCAAACCTGGGACCTTTCAGTCCGCAGGTCTATGCTCTATCCACTAAGCCAAACCCGTTAGGGCCATGAGGAAGATTTTTATAAGGAATTCTAATGAAAAGTCAGTGGGGCCAGTCAGGGCATCTCTAGATTTCTTTTCCTAATTTTTTTTCAGTGCTACTATATCTTTTCTGTATGAGTTGAATTATTCCATAATGATTTAGAACTGTGAAGGGGCCAGAAACACTATCTGATTGTATCTTTCATTGGTGCAGATGGGGAAGTAGTCCAGAGGTTGAGATTGGTCAAGGTCATGTTGCTAATTGTTGGCAGGTGTCTTTTGAGTTGCCTTATCCTGGTTTGCTGGCATCTAAACTGGGGTCTTGAGCAGAACTTTGACCTCATTTCCTTTTATTTCAACTGTAAGTAATGCTTTTGGTTTTATTTCCTGTTTTTTTTTAAGCTTAGATTATGTGCAAGGCACGTACATTTGGGCCTTCTGGCCGAGCAACTGTGAATAAGGTACACCATCTGCTTTCTAAAGCAACAAAATAGAGGGGGCCAGAGATACATAACCAGGGCACAAACACTAGGAGATTTGTGAAAAATGTCTTAAAACTTCATGAAAGGGGTAGGCACTGGGAGGAGAGAAATTACTTTGGCTAAGTTGTATGGGAAAGTTTTTTGTGTTTGAAGTGCGGCCTGAGAGCTAGTTAGAATTTGACAGATGGAAATTGGAGGAGAAGGGCATTATGGAGGGAAGACTATAAACAAAGGGTATGTTATACAGTTTTGCAGGAGCAACCAATAATTTATTGTAAATTAAATTAATTTTTTAAAAGGAGAGTGATTTTTTCTTTCTTTCTTTTTTTTTTTTTTTCAACTGAGTGGTGGTATCAGAATCTCCAGCAGGTGCTAGAATATATTTCAAACAGCACAAGATCCACCTGGGGATTTGATGCCCACTCCTAGTGTGGGTGCTCCCCTCTTCCCCCACTCTCTGGTGTAAGGAGAAATGCTATTGTGTGTTTCTTAAGTGAACATTGTGGAGGTAGTTAGTCTTTTCAATTTCCAAAGTGTTGTGTAGTGATGTAACTCAGGGCTTTGAAAATTAAACTAAGGATTTTTTAAGGTTTTGACCAAAGAAAGTGATGTGGTCAGAGCATTGTTTTAGGAAAATTAATAGTGGCCATTATGGAGGTTGGATTGAACATAGATAAATAAGCTATTGAAGTGGTTCAGGTAAGGATAATGAAGGGCTGAATTTGGGCAGGGCAGTAGCAGTGAGAAGAGAAAGAAGAATGGATGGGAGAGGTTTTGGCAAGAGAATTAAAAGACTTGGTTTCGGATGGGATAGCTGGAAGGAGGACGCTTGAAAACCCCATGAGTTTCGAGCCTACTTTTATGAAAGAATGGAGGCTGGTGTAGTGTGGGGCAAAAGAGAAATTTGTTTTACACATTTGAGTTGGAGGTGCTTAGGGAATATAAAGAGGAAATGTTAAGTATGCTTTTGGACACATAGGACTAAAGATTAGGGAAGAGAGGAAAACTTAGATGTTTTATTATGATTAAAAAAAGAGCTGATTAATTTAAGTAGTGAGCATAGCTCCAAGAGTGTGTAGTAGAGAAAAGTAGTTTAACTAAAAGTCTGGTGAAGGTCATGTTTAGGAAGCAAGAGGTGGAAGAGAAGAATCTTCAAGGATGTGGAGAAACCTAGGAAACTATAGCATCTCAAAACCAAGGAAAAAATAGAGGGAGAAAGGAGGAATAAAATATCAATTTGTATCCCAAAATATTGATGCAAAGAGTATCCATCTTTCCTCCATCTCACTGCACAGATGTTACAGGACAGAGAATTTACTGAGTGGACCCTCTAAACTCTCCGCCCCCCCTTAAGTGTAAGTCATGTGTTTTTGCAGACCAGTATGTTTATATACCCTAAAAAAAAAGCAATAGAAAATAAGATTTTATCTAAGAATATAAAACCATGTAAAATGTTACCCTTACAGCAATGCATAAATGAGTCCTACTTCTCAGAGTCAACCACATCAACATGTTCCTCTGACTTAAAAAAAAAATACTACTACTATGATTTGTTTTTCACAGAAGTGGATCATATATCCACTGATCAGCATGATTAGCAGCATGTCCTGGACATCTTTCCAGGCAGCACGTTTCAATTCACTTTAATTTTTTACGGTGCTCCTTTGTGCTTCAACAGTAGCCAGCAGCTGAAGTGGAGGGGAGTCAGAGGAGCCAGTCTTTTTACCTCTAGACCCTAACAGTAATCCACTGCTTTTATTAGACCTTTGGTCATTCTGGCCCCACTGCAGGTGCTGTTTTGTTCCTCACTGTCTCAAAGTACCTTCCAATCATTTTAATTCCTGAGAATGCTCTCTACTCCAAATTTCTAAGTGGTAGTGCTGTTGTCATGATTTTAGAGGTCATGTCCTAGAACTTTGTGGAAATAGACAGAAATGGCAGTGGGCTGAGGCTGAAGTGGAGCCCCAACAAACAGATGGAGAGAGCCCTGACTGATGCCCCTTCCCTACCTTGTGCAGAGTCTTTTAAGATTATTGTTAGATTTGCTTTAGTCTTTTGCCTTTTTATTTTAACATAGTTCATTTTCTTTTTTTAAAATATATTTTTATTGATTTCAGAGGAAGGGAGAGGGAGAGGCAGAAATATCAATGATGAGAGAGAATCATTGATCAGCTGTCTCCTGCATGCCACACACTGGGGATCGAGCCCGCAAACCCGGGCATGCACCCTCACTGGGAATTGAACTGTGACATCCGGGTTCATAGGTCGATGCTCAAACACTGAGCCATGCCGGCCAGATCAGAGTTCATTTTCACTTCTCCCACTTTTTAATTTGTTTTTTAAAAATCATTCCTGTGAATTCACTACAAGATAGGTTTTGTAGCAATTTCTAAGTTAACTGTTTTTAATGTCAATATTGCAGTGCTGAGTTATCCACCAGTCAGTCACCAGGCATCTATTGTGCACTTACTGTATGGGTCCCTATGTTGTTTCCACAGAAGCAGCCTGGGGTTGTGGAAAGAGATAGAGGCGTGTGAGGAGTGAGGAGACCTGGGATCTAATTTCGCTCTATTCTCCAGGGAGGCCTTGGACCAGTCATGAACCTCCCATGCCCTAATCTTTAAAACAAGCTGCTGGATTGATAATACTTGAAGATTCCATCAGACAGCCTCTGATTTTCTGTTCTACCACTGGATTTGTGTTTGCATCATCTAAGTGTGTTGTCCAGCATAATCCAAGCTCAATTTCATCCTGAGATGAGTGGGATAGAGATAATAGTCAAGAATTTGGGTTCTAATCTTGGCTTTGATACTGAATTCTCTGTACCTTGGACTGGTCCTAGTGGCATAATTTGTCTGCCAAATGAGGCTATTTGACCTAGATCCCTGGTTCTAAACTAGGGGTGTACAACAGAGCCAAATGTAGAATTCTGTGGAGACACACGTGTCTGGATTCAGCCCCTAGAAATTATGATTCAATAGGAGTAAGGTGAGGACCAGTTATGTTTTAAAAAATACTCTATAGGGATTTTGAGGACTCTCCTTGATAAGCAGTCTGCCTCATCAGCATTTTACAGATACTTGTGTCTTATTCCCCCTTGGCCATAGTTCTGTTCACCTCCAAAATACTCCCAGCTATGGACACATTTTTGGCCTTCATTTTGCTCAGTGGCCTTTTTCCTCTTCCTCAGTAACAACCTGCAGTGTTTCACAGTGCGGTGCAGTGCGGCAGCAGCTCGTGAGGAGGACCCATACGTGGACTCCACCCTGAAGGTTAGAACTGCATTATTATGACAGTGCAATCTTAGATAAAAAAGGAACGAATACACACTTGCAAATGCGCTCTTGGTTGTAAGCAAGGTGAACAGTAAAGGTCTTAAGATCTTGTTTATTTAATTAGAACCTTTGAATGTAAAATAGTAAGCAATTTTTGATTCATGGTTTAGTTGACAATATTTAAGATTATTTTGAAAACATTTCACTCAGAATTTTGGTCTAGTACATAGTTTTGAAAGTTTGGTAAAGAATATGTATAGTGTAGCTTCAGGGAGAGTACTTCACAACTATAGTATACTACAATTTTATTTTTTAACAGAAATATTGGTGGCAATTATATGTAGCTATTAACACATCAGTTTAGAAATTAGTATATTCAAGAATACAAAATTGAATAAAGTACATTAAAATAATTTCTTTATATTGTTATCAGATACGCCTATAATTCTTTTGTTATTTTACAAGCCTTCAACAATCTTTTGTATTTCTGTAGACTAAATCTAGGAGTTAATAGATATGTTAGATCAATAACCTCATTTTTAGTATGCTTAGTCTGTGCAAAGCTCTTGACTACAAAATAAACATAGGTCATCTATGATGAAATTCTATGTTTTCTGATGTTGAATTTCTGTTCTCAAAAATATACTGATCATTTTTATGATATTCATCGTATGGTATATCACCTCTGACGTATAAGCTGCTTGAATGGATGTTTGTTGTGAAGATATAGGCTGCAGGAAACCCCAAAAGCATGGTGGCCTGTATTTCACAGGTTAGTTTATGTCTATCATAAAAGGCATCTGGAACACCTTTTCCTGGAAAACTAAGTGCTCAATAACGATTGTTATGTTAAGAAGCCAGCACTGTGAAGTGCTAACGTGTCTGAGGCACTCTCCTGTTATCACTGTTGTGATTTGAGTTCTCAGTAACTCTTTTTTTGTTGTGGCCCAACCTGTAGCTTTTTTGTTGCTGACCAGGCTTGCTGCCTACCTTAAGCCTCTTGGGACGCCGGAATCACATCTTTTCCTTGTCTTTCTGTCTGTGGTTAAGATATACACATGGGCTTTTAAATAGATTATTTTTAAAATAAAGGTTATTTTCCTAGTAAAAATTGAAAGCTGACAGATTCTTTGCCCTTTTCTTCTCCCCACACCATGCCTTTAAGGAAAAAGGAAAAAACTCAGAAAGACATAGGCTTACATAGGTAGTGATGGTAGAGTGAGGGGTATATAATAGATTGAGGTAGGATCAAAGCTACAATAAAAATGTCAGATAATAACAAATATTGGTGAGGATGCTAAGAAATTGGAACCCTCATACATTGCTTGAGGGAATATAACATGGTGTGGCCATCTTGGAATAAGTCTGATATTTCCTCAAACAGTTAAACATTGAGTTACCCTGTGATCCAGTGATTCAACTTCTAGGTATATGCCCAAGAGAAATGAAAAAAATACATCTACACAAAATGTCCACACATTATATACAAATGTCTATAGCAACATTATTCATAATAACTAAAAGGTGGAAGCAATCCAAATGTTCATCAGCTGATGAATGGGTAAACAAAATGTGATATGCCCATATAACGGAATATTATTTGGTCATAAAAAGAAATGAAGCACTGACATATGGATAAACACATGGAAACTGACACATGGAAGCGCCATAACATGGATGAACCTTGCTATAACATAGATGACCCTTTTAGCACTATAACATGGATGAATCCTGAAAGAAACCAGTTACCAAAGACCATACACATATTTATATGATTTCATTTATATAAAAGTCCAGAATAGGCATACCAATAGAGACAAAGAGTAGATTAGTTGTTGCTTAGGATTGGGATGGATGAGAGAGAGAGGGACAATAGCAAAAGGGTACATAGTTTCTTTTTGAGATGATGAAAATGTTCTAAAATTGACTGTGGTGTTGGTTGCACATATCTGTTTGCTAAACACTATTATACTAAAAACCACTCAGTTGTATGCTTTAAATGGGTGAATTGTATAGTATGTGAATTATATGTCAATAAAACTCTTAAGAAAAAGAAGGGAAAATAAATAATAACTTCAGGTCTTCTCAGTCTCATAAAACCAGAGGGAAGGAACCCAAAAGAGAGGAAGGGAGAAAAGAAGAGAGACCGGTAGCTGGTTGGGGCTGCTGCACTTGAGACCCATCCTCATGAGTGTACACACCTCATGGCTCCCCCTTCCCTGCACCCCACCATTCTGAAATCCCAGATGCCACCTGAGTGAGCACGCATTTAGCCCACTTGCCGACTCAGGCTTTGGGAGCTGCGAGGTCTGAGAAAGATTTCACAGCCTCAGAGTTTGGCCCAAAGGGAACATATCTTTTTTTCCCATTCCTCCCAGATTCCAGCTCTTCAGCACTAGCCAGGGCCACCTTACTATTCTTAGGGATGAAAACATAGATGGAGGTGTTTCCCCAAGCATGTTATACAAATGGACAAGGAAGATGACCTCGGAATCAAACAGTGTGAATGCAGGAGGAGGCATGGGCCTGGCAGCCTTAACATGGATGAACCTTGCTATAACATGAATGTTTTGTGAGCTCCCTGAAAGAGTTCTTCCGTTATCTTTCTTATCCAGTCTAGTTGAATTAATGTTCCCTTATAGGGATAGGCGCCTGGCTCCTGATCCAGATTTCCTCCAGTTTACCTGACACACCCAACCTGTCAGGCATTCTAGGCAGTGTTCACACTTAAGGACCTAAGAGTCAGGGGCCATCTGAACATACAAGCATTTTCATCCTACACACCCATCTACTAAGAAACCATTTTATGTACTCTCTGTGCAGTGGAATGCCTTTTTGTAGTATCTCATTTTGCCCAGGAGCTCTGTTTGGGCATACCCCCAAGCCAGCATGCTATTAGTGGGATTTTCCTGGGTGGCTGCACTTCCAGAGTCATGGGGAGTCCCTACTGCTGTGAGGGCCTCGGGCACACCCACTTTCTGAATTCATTCAGAAAGGGTAGCTCTTTGACAGGCACATATGAAGTAGATAGTTGGTTATGTAAGTTTAGATAGAATAACCTCCTTGCTCTGATAAGAATAGGAATTTGAGGAGTTTTTTTTTAAGGGGGTAGAGCAGGAGAGACTTTATCAACTAAACAGACTGATTTTTGAAGATTAAAGTTCATGTATGTTTTTTCCTTGGTTAAATTTGTGATTTTTTCCTTTACTAGGCTTGCCCACCTGTCAGTATGGATGTCTGTGCTTTAAGAATACAGCTTTTCATAGGCTTGAAAGCCATCTGTCACTTTAAAAACCACATCGTACTTCTGACCAAGGCAGACCCTGAGGCCATTCCAGAGAGAAGAGAGGCACCAAGGAGGCTTCTGTGAGCATCCCCCTCCCAAGAGAGTCCTGCCAAAGTTTCTGCACTGAATTGTTATGGGTGTATTTTGTCTGTGTTTTACTCTATGTTTTTTTATTTTATTTTTTAATTTTTTGAAACATATTTTTATTGATTTCAGAGAGGAAAGGAGAGGGAGAGAGAGATGAAAACATCAATGATGAGAGAGAATCATTGATTGGCTGCTTTCTGCACACCCCCTATTGGGGATCAAGCCTGCAACCCAGGCATGTGCTCTTGACCAGAATCTAACCTGGGACCCTTCAGTCCACAGGCTGATGCTCTGTCCACTGAGCCAAACCAGCTAGGGCTACTCTATGTTTTGTAAATCAAAACTGAATGACCAGATGACTTTTCTATGGTGTTCTTTTTCTAGAGAGAGAAAATAGGTTTTAATGATGTCCATAATATCCTTTATAATTGACCTCAGAACTTTTAAAAGAAAATGAACTATAAAATAGTTTCAATAAATGTCTGGTATTTTAGATAAAATGTTAAAGGACATGTGTTTCTGTGTAGTTAAAGAGAAAGACAAGGCCTCTAATGCTAGCCTAAACGATAAGTTTCTTAATACATATTTTTCTTTTTTGACCTTTCAGTGGCTGCATTTTTATCCAAAGACTAGAGGCTCAGTGCACGAAAATTCGTGTACTTGTGGGGGTCCCTCAGCCCGGCCTGTGCCCTTTTGCAGTCCGGGACCCCTCGGGAGATGCCCACCTGCCAGCTTAGGCCGGCCTAAGCTGTTAGTCGGACATCCTTAGTGCCGCAGAGGAGGTGGGAGAGGCTCCCGCCACCACCGCTGTGCTCGCAGGTGTCAGCCCAACTTCTGGCTGAGCGGAGCTCCCCCTGTGGGAGCGCACTGACCACCAGGGGGCAGCTTCTACGTTGAGCGTCTGCCCCCTGGTGGTCAGTGTGCATCATAGCCACCGGTTATTCCCAGTCGTTCCACCATTAGGGTCAATTTGCATATTACCCTTTTATTATATAGGATTATTTTCTGGTATTTCAATTCAAAAGAAATTAACAATATATTTTTTACCTTAAATCACATTCATAATATATATATATATATATATATATATATATATATATATATATATATATGTGCTGATCTACCTTAAAATAGAATTGCAATTTGATAGCACTAATCTCTGGTTGACGCTTCTGTGTTCTGTTTTCACTGTTTAGAACAGAATAGTTACACTTCTATTTGATGTCTTCTATATTGTGAACTTAGTGGTAGGGAAAACTTAATCAGGTAAGAAATTTTTGGAGAGATAAGAAACATAATGAGTTTCAAATCTAAAATTGGTTTTTATTTTTAACATAAGTTTTTGACTTTTTTAAATTGCTTGTGCCTGTACTTGTTCCACCAAAAGGAATAAACAGGTTGACTTGGTTAAGTGATCATTTAGAGAGTTCAGAGTGGTCTGACTAAGCGTAAAAGCTTCTGAGAGAAAAAACAACTTGTAATCTTGCACATTTGACATTTGTAAAGTATTATATATTCCTTTGGTTGATCTCTAATCCCCCTCCCTGCTCCCCTGCCATTTGTCTCTGGATCTATTTTTGTTCATCAGTTTCTGTTGATCATTATATCCCACATATGAGTGAGATTATGTGATATTTATCTTTCTCCAACTAACATAATTTCAATTAACATAATGCTTTCCAGTTCCATCCATGCTGTTGCAAATGGTAAAAGTTCCTTCTTTTTTACCTCAGCATAGTATTCCATTATGTAGATGTACCACAGTTTTCTAATCCACTCATCTACTGATGGGCACTTAGGCTGTTTCCAAATCTTAGCTATGGTGAATTGTGCTGCTATGAACACAGGGGTGCATATATCCTTTCTGTTTGGTGTTTCTAGTTTCTTGGGATATATTCCTAGAAGTGGGATCACTGGGTCAAGTGGGAGTTCCATTTTTAGTTTTTTGAGGAAACTCCATACAGTTCTCCACAGTGGCTGCACCAGTCTGCATTCCCACCAACAGTGCACGAGGGTTCCTTTTTCTCCACATCCTCGCCACACTTGTCCTTTGTTGATTTGTTGATAGCCATTCTGACAGGTATGAGATGGTATTGCATTGTCGTTTTAATTTGCATCTCTCGGATGATTAGTGACTTTGAACATGTTTTCATATGTCTCTTGACCTTCCTTATGTCTTCTTTCAAAAAGTATCAACAAAAAAATAAAAAACAAAGAAAAGTATCTATTTAGGTCTGTTGCCCATTTTTTGATTGGGTTGTTTATCTTCCTTTTGTTAAGTTGTATGAGTTCCCTGTAAATGTTGGAGATTAAACCCTTATTGGTGATAACATTGGCAAATATGTTCTCCCATGCAATGGGCTTTCTTGTTTTGTTGATGGTTTCTTTTGCTGTGCAAAAGCTTTTTATTTTGATGTAGTCCCATTTGTTTATTTTCTCTTTAGTTTCCAATGCCCTAGGAGGGGTATCAGTGAAGAAATTGCTTTGGCATGTGTCTGAGATTTTGCTGCCTGTGATTCCTCTGGTATTTTTATGGTTTCCTGTCTTATGTTTAAGTCCTTTATCCATTTTGAGTTTATTCTTGTGTATGGTGTAAGTTGGTGGTCTAGTTTCATTTTTTTGCATGTATCTGTCCAATTTTCCCAACACCATTTATTGAAAAGACTGTCTTGATTCCATTGTATGTTCTTGCCTCCTTTGTCAAATATTAATTGAGCATAGTGGTTTGGGTCAATTTCTGGGTTCTCTATTCTATTCTATTGATCTATATGTCTGTTCTTGTGCCAGTGCCAGGCAGTTTTGAGAACAGTGGCTTTGTAATACAGCTTGATATCTGGTATTGAGATCCCACCTACTTTGTTCTTCTTTCTCAGGATCGCTGCAGCTATTCCGGGTCTTTTTTTTTTTATACCAGATGAATTTTTGGAAAGTTTGTTCTAGGTCTGTGAAATATGCCGTTGGTATTTTAATGGGGAGTGCATTGAATGTATAGATTGCTTTGGGTAGTATGGACATTTTAATGATGTTGATTCTACCAATCCATGAACACGGTATGTTCTTATATCTGTTTATGTCTTCCTCTATCTCTTTTTTCAGTGTCCTGTAGTTTTCTGAGTAGAGGTCTTTTACATCCTTAGTTAAGTTTATTCCTAGGTATCTTAATTATTTGGTGTGTTGGTAAATGGGATTGCTTTTTTAGTCTCTCTTTCTGTCAGTTCACTATTGGTGTATTGAAATGCCATAGATTTCTTGGTATTAATTTTGTATCCTGCTACATTGCCTAATTCATTTATTAAGTCTAATAATTTTTTGATGTAGTCTTTAGGGTTTTCTATGTACAGCAGTGGTTCCCAAACTTATTTGGCCTACCGCCCCCTTTCCAGAAAAAATATTACTCAGCACCCCCTGGAAATTAATTTTTTAAAAATTTTAATAGCAATTAAACAGAAAGATATATGTATTAATGTTTCTACCTTTTTCGTAAAATATAGTAAAGAAAGGTGTAAATTAGAAACATTGAAGTTTGAAATTATGAAACTATTTATTGAACTCAGAATAGAAAGGTAATACAAAAAAAGTTAAAACAAATGCACCTGTGGCCATCACCGCCCCCCTGGATCGCTGCAGCGCCCACCAGGGGGTGGTAGCGCCCACTTTGGGAATCACTGATGTACAGTATCATGTCATCTGCGAATAAGGACAGTTTTACTTCTTCATTTCCAATTTGGATGCCTTTTATTTCTTCTTGTCTAATTGTAATGGCTAGTACTTCCAGTACTATGTCGAACAGGAGTGGTGGGAGTGGGCATCCCTGTCTTGTTCCTGTTCTTAGGGGAAATGGTTTAAGTTTTTACCCATTGAGTATGATGTTGGTTGTAGGTTTGTCATATATGGCTTTTATTATGTTGAGGTATGATCCTTCTATTCCCACCTTGCTGAGAGTTTTTATCAAAAATGGGTGTTGGATTTTGTCAAATGCTTTTTCTGCATCAATTAATATGACTGTGGTTTTTTTCTTTCAATTTGTTTATGTGATGTATCACGTTTATTGATTTGCGGATATTGTACCATCCTTGCATCCCTGGGATTAATCCTACTTGGTCATGGTGCATGATCTTTCTGATGTACTGCTGGATCTGATTTGCTAAGATTTTGTTGAGGATTTTGGCATCTATGTTCATGAGGGATATTGGTCTGTAATTCTCTTTCATTGTGTTGTCTTTATCTGGTTTTGGTATTAGGGTGATGCTGGCTTCATAGAATGAGCCTGGAAGTGTTCATTCCTCTTGAATTTTTTGGAATAGTCTGTGGAGGATAGGATTTAGTTCTTCCTTGAATGTTTGGTAAAACTCCCCTATGAAGCCACCTGGCCCCAGGCTTTTGTTTGCTGGAAGCTTTTTGATGACTGCTTCAATTTCTCCCATAGTTATCGGCCTATTGAGATTTTTAGATTCTTCCTGATTGAGTTTTGAAAGGTTGTATTTTCTAGGAATATGTCCATTTCCTCTGTGTTGTCTAGTTTGTTGGAGTAGAGTTGTCCATAGTATTTTTTAACAATCCTTTGTATTTCTGTGGGGTCTGTTGTTATTTCACCTCTTTCATTTCTGATTTTGTTTATTTGGGTCCTTTCTTTTTGCTTGATATGATTTCAGTCTTCTTGAATTTGAAGAGACTTTGCTTGTGACCCAATATGTGGGCTATTTTTGAAAATGTCCCATGTGCACTTGAGAAGAATGTATATTCCATGACTTTGGCGTGAAATGTTCTAAAGATGTCAATTAAGTCCATCTGATCTAGTGAGTCATTTAGGATTGCTGTTTCTTTGCTGATTTTTTGTATAGAGGATTTATCCAGTAATGTCAGTGGTGTATTAATGTCCCTTACTGTGATTGTATTGTTGTCGATCTCTCCCTTGATATCTTCCAGGAATTTTTTTTTTATGTATTTGGATGCCTCTGCATTGGGTGCATATATGTTTATCAGGGTTATATCC